CATAAAGCCTCAGCCAAGTATGAAGAATCAGCCCTCCCTAACTAAACACACTCACCCAGCAGAAAAGGGGACAAGACGGGAGAGAAACCACAGAGGAAGGAGAGGGGCAAGGTGGTCGACGGAGATCATTTCGTACAACTTTATAACAGCCTTAAAGATATATCAGGATCACTGAGAGAAGATCAAGAATCAATGTGGCATAAATGTAGTTTTGCGTTTGATTTCCATATGATGCACTTTAGAGAAAGAAGGATGTGAGTAGCTGAATATATTCATAAAAAAAAACTGAATGTGAAATAAACTGTTTAAGAGCTATATTAGTCTAAGTACATCACAAAGTGTATTTTTATTATAAACTCTCAAAACTTTTGCAACAGCTGGTATGCAAAATAATACTGCAACCATTGAATGTATTCAAATCATCAGTAGCAGGTTTTGCTGCCAGGAGTGGAATAAATCAGTTTTTAGGTTTGGGGCCTAAAACCTAAAAACTATGAGTGTTTGATATCGTTTGGTATGTGGGCGGAAAAAAAAGAAAATTCTCACTGACATTTTTATTTGCTATTCAGTGCATATTTTCTTCTCAGCATGGGGTATTCCAGCGAATTTCTTAGGAGACAGTGCTCTATTTAATGCACTGACGACACTGAAAATAAAAAAAAAACGTGAGGATAGAAAATCGTTATCAAATTTTCCTTTTTCAAGAATATTAAATCAGAAACATATTTTTATTGTTGAAAGGTTTGAAGAATATATGCAGTTTTTCTCTCCTGTGAGAAACTACAGAGGGATGAACTTGTCTCAGATTCAGTTTGGTTCAGGAGGATCTGGTGCTAAAAAAGAAAATTATGTGGACCAAGTAGAATGGAACGGAAGAGGTTTTGAGACTCTTTGCTGTTTAATTAGATCTGCTGATGAAAATGCCAAACATTTTTGGGAGATTTTCTTACAATAGCGTTTGAAATTACACTGTTGGAAACATAGTTAGATTATTAATCCAAAACCTGAAAAACCTTGGGTGGTTTGTTTGGATGTAGTGGGATTTCAGGAAAGAAACCTCAGTTTCTATACCTCTGCTACAAACTAAGTGGTTAACACAATAAAGCTAAAATACTTCAAGAACTTCAAAAGTGTCAAATTCAACAGTGTAGAAGTTTGGGAGTGGGTCTGTGTCAGTGGCAGTGTTAGAGGTGGCCGGTGAGGTCAACAGAAAAGACCCAAGAGTGAGAAACAAGGCCTGCCTCTGCCTTTAATAAACCATTACTGCAAACTCCTGCCGGACAAACCTTAAACCAAGACAGATTTGGACGATGCAGAGCCAAGAATTTTGCCAACAAGGATAAATCCTGCATTGACTCTGTTTTCCAAGCATGTCTCTTTGAATACCTAGGCGTCTGTTTGTATGTCTGTCTGTCAATCTGCCAATATAAAAGGATATATCTGAGAAGTGTCTCTTTTCAAAGCCATAACCAAACCTTCAATAGATTGTTCAAGCACAGAACAAAGCTGTATTCTAATGAATCAAAAAGGTCTAACAAGTATCGTCGTATGAATCCATCAATTAAGTTAACCTCGCCCTGCTTGGATTGATTATATGTTGGGGGGAAAAAAAAAAAAAAAAAACTGCCACTGATTTATTGACTAATGTAAAGACATAAGAATGAAATCCTTCACATCATGAAACGAACCTGATACAAAGTACAGCAGGATAAATGATGTGTTGGGGACACACTCTGCAGTGAAACGTACCAGAGGTGAAGCTGAATAAAACCAGTGGCAAAATTGAACTGATCAGCATCTTCTGAAATCGAAGCTTTCTTAAATAAATGTAGAACGTCGCTTCACGTAGCTCATCGTAGTTTGCATCTCAATCAGTTGCAGCTGTGTTTATTTGGTCACATTTTGATAGCTGAATGTAACACTGAGTGCTGGCTAGAACAAACTGTGAAATATACAAAAAAAGCCATCCAGTGAGATTTTACTGGATCTGGTTTAAGTTATTAGAACTTTTATATGACGCCCACTTTAAAGGGGGTCAATGTTTAAGAAATGCCTTTTTATATTAAGCATCTTTATTTAATTGTCATTATTTTCTAGAACTCAGTTTCCACTTTGACATTAGTGAGGTTTTTTCTTTTCTATTTTTTTGTTGAATGCGATAAAAAGGGTAAAAATTATATCAGGTTTCAATAAGCACTGTAACTTGCTATTCAAACATAAACAGCAGAGCCACCTGCAAAAATACCACCATGATGAATTTTTGGGTAATAAATGCCAAAACTTCTGTTTTGGCAGATGCAACGTTTTGGTAAAAACATAGTATCAAAAATTTTCCTTTATATTGTAAAAAAAACATTGGAAAATGTTGCGTAGATTGTGTTTGTTTCTAGTCCTCATAAGTGATATTTCCTTGTGACAATGCAAATATACAAAACCTAATATTCACACCTTCTGGACCTTTTCATATTTTAGCTTTTAAACCACAAGCCTAAATGTATTTTAAGTCTTTTATGTAATAGACTGACAATACAGCGCAAAACAGTAATAAAATGGAAGGGAAATTATGCCTGGTTTGAAATTTACAGATTAAATCTGAAATGTGGTGTGTAGTTTTATTCACCCCTCTCTACTCTGACAACCCTTAAAAAAATCTGGCGCAATATCTTGGCATCAGAAGTCATTAAAACAGACTCCACTAATTTAATTTCAATATAGCTTTAAGCAAAAGCCTCAGAAGGGAACTGCTGAAAGAAAGCCAAAAGAAGCTTCCAGTTTTTTTCCCTCTGATCTGTAGAGACAACATGCAAAATTCTAAATGCGGCCACTTCCATGGTAGTGGCAGCATTTTGCTGTGGGATGTTGCTCAAATGAAGAAATAGGATCCTGCTGGAGAGATTCACCTCCTAGCTGCCTTCCAGAAGATCAGGCTAAATGTTTGCTTCTAAGCAGGCAGCTTCAAGTGTTCACCAGATATTTTTAAAGAAAGGCTAAATGGATGTATGGACCTGTCATAAATACATATTTTAAGATCCATACTAACACCACATGTAAACAGTCTTCTCCTAACACATTTGAACAATGTCTGCATAGTGACTGCTTGGAGAGCCTCCAGCAAAGAAAGAAAGAAAGAAACAGCTGATTGTAGCTCACCTGATTCGATTTAACTGCCTGTTAGTAGAAACAAACTGAACTGCCGTGAGCTAAAATTTAACTTTATAAACAGAGAGTGACAAGAATTTGTCCATAAGTGCTCAGAATGAGAAACTGTTGCATTTCAGACATTAAAACCTACAAATCTTTTTTTTTTTTTTTTTTCCTGAAAGAAATCCTAAACTTTCAAAAAAGGTGAACTAACTATGGATTATTTGAGTTCAATATTTGTCTTGTTTTTCAATAAATAGAAAGATCATTATTGAAAGACAGTGGTACATGTCTGAGGCAGTTTGCCAGTGAATGCTCTGCATCATTGCTGTGGAACGAAGTCTGGTGACAGGGCTTTTATGGACAACCACAGTACAGTGGTATTGAGTTTCAGTGCATTTGCCCTTGGCCAGATAAAATGATAGGCTAACATACCCTCATGTACAACTAGTTATTAATACATGACATAGTGCAAGTAATTTGTAAAAAAAAAAAAAAAAAAAAATAAAAGAGTTCTGTGGAATAGCGTTTTGTAAGGTGGCCAGTGGCGCTTTTTGATCTGGGTAACGTAGCTCAGTGCTCAGGGCGACACGTTGTCTGAGTGGCATCAAAGGGCAAAAAAACAAAGAAGAAAAAAAAAGGAATCTGTCTGTAGAGTGCTGTGAAATAGTATATACTCTGTTCCAAGTTTCTTCTGATTTAGCTTTTTTTTGTCACACAAGATACAAAAATTTGTTGTCAAATGATTTAATTAAGAAAAGGACTTTACAAATCAAGCTGTTGCTTCATGACAAAGCAAATTGCAAAACTGGTTGGAGCCATTTCCAGATTGATTGTTAACAATGACTTTGTTTCTCATCTGTTTCTAATTTTCTTTAGATCTGTGTGTGACGTCTAATTTTTAACAATACTTTGGCCTTCATCATTTTGTTGAACAGGTTTTATTTAATTTAGCTCATGCTTATACCTGTAGGTCTGGCATGTGGTCAGTTTGAATCAAAAATGAGGTGAAACACAATTACCTGGGTGTAGTTTTCCTTCCTCATGGCTTTTTTCGCTAAAGGAAATCGCCATTTGAAAATTGCTTTTTGCATTTACTTAGTTTATCTTTGTCAGCTAATAAAATGTATCAGATAATCAGAAACAAATGTGAAATGTGAAAAACCCCCATAAACATCAGAGGTCACCTGTAAGTGGCAGATACCTGCTGCAGCACTGTACCACAGTAATTTCAAAAAGATTTTGAAATACCTACCTCTTGCAATCAGAAGAATGCAAGAGGTGAAACAGATTAGAGAGATTTTCTTCTTCTTGTTAATTGAGTAAATAATAAATTATATAAACACAGGGGACATACGAAGGTAATATTGTTTTTCTCTGTTGTTCAAACTGGTTTATTCTAAATAGTAGCACAATGTACAAGCAAACATGTACTGGTGAAAAGGACTACTACTTTCTAGAAAGTTAAATTTAATTATGTTATTTTATTATGACATAAGGACCACTGCCTCTTTTTTCAAATGAAATTGAAGGTGAAAACCACAGAAAATGGTAAGAATTAGCTTCTGTTGTTACTGTTACTGTGTCCTTCAAGCTCAGACAACTTGAAATGATTCCTCTGCTTTCACAAATCTTAAGTTTTTAAAGATAAACATTTGAGAGAGAATCCACGTTTTGCGTGTCCGTAGAGTTCGCATATATCTCAGGGCAGCACCTGGTTACTGAGTTTGCCCTCTCTGATCTCAGCCTGGGTCCTCCTGAAACTAATTGTAGTTTCCCCCCCTCCATCTCTCTCTCTCTCTCTCTCTCTCTCTCTCTCTTTCTCTTTCTCTCTCTCTCTCCGTGTCTGAGTTACAGCGAGGATTTCGCCTCGCCCGGAGCGACGTCACACCAAGGTGGAAGAAGACTCATTTTTCCAGCCTGTGTTCATCCAAAAAAAAAAAAAAAAAAAAAAAAAAAAAAAACACGCTGACAGGCTGAGCGGGAGGAGAGTCGCCTCTACCTGCAGCCGGTGGGCGCCGCCAATTATTCACCAACTTTTTCATCAGCGCGTCAGCTCAGAGCGCGGAGAGAGCGCTCCGCATCTGACTGCGCAGGGGCATTTTCATACCTTCATCTGCGCTTCTTTACTTCTCCTGCCCGCACAACAGTTTAGCTGTGACAGAACCCCCGAAAGAGAAGCGAGACTCTGCAGCTTAGTGTTGGATATTTTCCCCGGCGCAGTAAGTCCTGAGTGTGTTCCTCATTAGACCACCTTGAAACCATGTAAGTGCGCTGCGACAGACACAGCACAGCGATAATGAAGAGGTTAACCACACCTTTGAGAGCGGACATCACTTCTCTAGCCACTTGACCGACTTTGTTGCGCATTAAGATGCGCCCGGCTGAAGAGGAGGTGGACTTTTGCGCACTCCTTGGCGGACACTTCCCAGAGAGCGTTGACTGATCCGCGCCGTCAGAGAAAAAAACAATTGGACCTCCTATGATTTTAAGAAACAATCCCACTCGGTGTTGGCTGAGGTCGTTACGTTGAAGTTTGCTGAAGGGGGAGAAAAAAAAAATCTCCGTGTGGAATTGCAGAGATCAACATGACGGCTCGTCTCTCTCGGATCCAGCTGGCCCTGTTCTTTATTTTGCTCTGTCCGGTCAACATCATCGGACTGTGGTGGTAAGTTAACACGTGGGTGTCCTGTCCCTGTTTCATTTCAGTCTGAGAGTTTATTTATGTACTTTCAGTATTCTATCTATCTATCTATCTATCTATCTATCTATCTATCTATCTATCTATCTATCTATCTATCTATCTATCTTACACGTTTACAATTTACAGTTCTCCACCTGTGAAGTCTAGAAGGGTGCTATGGATTTGTGTGGAAGTTCTTTAGAATCCAATGGGTTTTTTGTTTTTGTTTTTTTTTTTTTCTTCAGGAAAATATGCTTATTTTCCATCTGATAAATAATAATTGAATAATTGACACAAAACTTTCGTGGCAGGTAAAAATTGGACCGATCGTTATTTCCCTGGCCAACTTCTACCGATATGTGGGTTTCTTTAGAGTCTGAGCTGCTGGGTATGATTTGACCTGCTAATGCTGTTTTTCAATTAATTATTCCCCATGAAAGAAAGGCAAAAACCTACTGCCAGTTACTTAAATGTGGTGTGAAGTTGGAAGATTAGCTCTGTTTATAAATTAATTAAGGGCGTTAAACTAAACTGTTGATGCATTTACTGACCAAGAATGATGGCAGTTCTTGATTTTGATGTATTTAAAGAATTAGGAAGGAGGAGTGAGATGTCTTTATATGATGTTTTGATTATGAATTAGAGCCTCTGAGGAAAATGTTTATTAGCTGTGGGATATTATTATATTAATTAGTCTATTTCTTATCTGAAAATTGGTATCATATTTTCAATACAATTTTCAAGAATGTTGTCCAATGTATTTTAATTATTTCAAGATATGGATTATTTGTGAACTCATGAGTAATATTTTATTTTATTTTATTTTATTTTATTTTATTTTTTTGACTAAAGAAAAATGACCATGATCAATTTCATCCTGGTCTGACTGGCTGAATGTACTATTTCTATTTTTTTATATGTCAGGATTACAAGCAGGATTACAATTGAGCAGAAGATTCTTTGGTAGAGGTAGTAGTTTTGCAGATTACCCAGTTTGTCCATCAACGTTTGTTTCAGATTTTCTTCATCTGATTTTTGTTCAGTTCCAATTGGTTAATTGATTGGTTCATCCCATATGACAGAGTGTAAAAGGAACAAAACAGGGAGGTAAAAAAGTGTGTGTGTGTGTGTGTGTGTGCTCTTTGTTGCCTGCAGTGGGAGAGAGCTGTGAGGTCGGTTGAGGTGTCGTCGATGATGGGAGTTCAGGTTAAGGAATGTCAGGTGGCCCTCTAGGCACAGTGGATATGTCATCATAAAACAATCCATACAGGCTCAGCTCAGCAGGATGGGTGACAGTCGAACAGGCAGACGGGCATAAAGCCCAGCAGATCTACCGATAACATGTTTTCTAATAATGTTAGTTTTTCGTATGTGTGGTGCTTTTGGGAAAAAAAAAAAAAAAAAGATGTGCATGTCTGCAAGTCATGGCTCCTGCAGACAGGCAGAAAAACTTTTGCAGCGTTTGATAGTGAAGCTTTGTGGTTTTGTTCTATTGAATCCTCCCACTGTTCATTCATGGCTCAGTCAAGGTCAGTGTGGGATGTAGTGTCATGGGGGCTCGGTAAGTGCATTTGCTTGTTGACTGGCCGAAGGCTCTGCTCAACTTAGAAATTTAGTTTCTCGTACTTAAGATGATAGAGTGAATGTAGGTAACTGGAAATGAACAGGAGTTCAAGATCAGAGGTCTCATTGAACAAAATATTAAAACTGCGCTCTAATAAAAAGTTTGAATGTTTGGAGCCTACATGGAATACACCTAATAACAATATTTGCCCACAAGGGTGCAGCATTATACATGAGCCTCTTGAATTTTGCAAAACCTCTTTTGTTTTATTTACTTGATAAGGAAGTATTTTAATGAGTGAAGAGGGAGCTAATCAGCGCTTTATTACCTACAACTTTATCTTTTTGTTTGTTTCAGTTTAACCTTTGGTATCAAAAAGAGTTTTGTTTGGTTCTTAGTAGACATTGCACTAAGACTTCGGTGCGAAAAGGTTATTGGTTTGAGTAATGCAGTAAAAACGTCTTGCTTGAGATTTTGAAAACATTAGATTTCAGACAAGCCTAATGGCTGACAAGTTCTGCCCCCCGGCAATTCTGAAAAAATGTGCAGGAGACAAAAACAACCTCTCCCTCAAATGCAGAACATTACTGTGAAAATCGTACTGGATGGGGGTAAAAAAAAAAAAAAAAAAAAAATAAAAATTTTAAGTTTTTTTTATGAAGAATTTTTTCTACTGAAAAGTTTTTTTTTGGGAAAACTACCT